GAAGAGGAAAGCGAGAGAAAGCAGCTGTATTGGGTCATTCAGGAGCTGCTCAGTGACTCAAACCGCCTCAGAGAGGAGGTCCATAATCTGAGATGTTTAATGCAAATCAAAGCAGAGGAGAGAGGCCAGAAGCACCGTGAACTGCTCAGGGTCGAGGTGAGGTTTAAACCCACAGACACGCACACAGATTTATTTACATTTTGTGTCATCATTAGTGCATTTTAGTGCATAATATAATCATTTATGCAGACACAGAGCAGTTCAACTAGACTTGTGTGAGAATCAGTGGGTTTATATTTTAGATACTTTGGGATGTTAGCATCACAGTCGAGAAACCAGCAAGCAAGAGCGCATCTGTCATCTACATTAATAATATTGGGGATATTGGGATTGAGGAAAAAACATTTTATAAATTATTACAGATTTTTTTTTAATTAATAAAAGATTCATCGACTCTTTGTTAATTAGTACATAAGAAAATCCTGGATCAACAGCAACCAGCTCGAAAATAAATGAGAAATTCTTAAAAATAAAAATTACAAAGAAAAAACAAAGACTGTTAGATCAGTTATTTGGATTTTTGTTTATCCTTCATTTACTTACAGTTTAAAAATGGAAGTTTGATACCTGGCACAAACACACACGCGTGCATACACACAGCAGATGATGATGCTGTTCCTTGTTAAATCTTCCAACAGCAACTGAACGAGCGCATCCAGCACGAGCTCAAAGAAAAAGACCTGCTCATCATGGACCATAACAAGCTCAACACTATGCTACAGCGCAGGTGCACCTGTTTTGTTTTTTTTAAAGATGTTATAGTGTTGTTAATTATGTTGTTAATTTCAGAAATAAACTGTATAGCAACAGTTTATTAAAGAAATAAACTGTTGTTACTGTCTCTGTCTGGCTCTCTCTCTGAAATAAAATCATTTTATTACATTTTTATTTCCCGATGTAAAATCCTTGATGTGTGTACTTCATTTTGCTCTATCCATCCATCTTTTCATCCGTAATTGGATGAAGTGGCATGAATTTAAATATCAGAACTTTTGCAGTGACTGCCTGAAGTCTAGAACTCATGGACATCACCAGATGTGGTTTCCTCCCTTGAGATACTCTGCTAGGACTTTACTGCAGCCATCTTTAGTTGAGGCTTGTTTGTGGGCCTCTCTCTCACTTTTATCTTCAGTAGCTGAACAACAAGCTCTGTTCGAGTTTTCTGTATGCTTTGAGTTCTTACCCATTTCTAGCTTTGTGTTTCTCCAAAAGGATCACAATGCTAGATAACATTACAACTCAGCAGAGGAAGACGCTGTTAATGTTCATATCCTCTCACATTGTCACGAGCCACAAGGATTTTGGATAAATTTGACATTTTAAATGCCATTTACTTCCATTAAACTAAAGCAAATATCCATCTCCAAAAGCACAAAACTCACACCAAGTATGTAGATTTTGGTTTTCAGTGAAATATTCCTTTAATATAACCATTTTTCACCACTGATAATTGATTCCATTTTATATGTTTGGCTCCTCTGATCTGCAAAATATCTGCAGCCACAATTAATTCAGACATCTGTGCATGTTGTCTTGGTAGAAAACCATTTCTTTCTAATTGGTCATACTTCAGTGTTCAGACACAGACTAATGCATAAAGCACCACCCAGTATAAAAGCAGATTTTTAAACAATGCATTCATTAAGGTCAAAGCAGCAGAGTTCAGTTTGAAGTGGTTGCACTTGACATGGAATCAGACGGTGTATCTCCTCTCTGTTCTCACATTTAGCCGTCGTTCGTCACAGCACACACGCCTTAGATGCATTTTAAACCCCGTGAGACTTTGGTTCTTTCATAATTTTGTGATCCACTGATCACCTGTAATGAATAGGAGTCACTGATATTAAGATTACTCTGTTGGGAGTATAGCATCTGTTGATGACAACATTTCTGTCCATAGTTTATTTAACAAGCGCACATAGACCTAAAAGTCTAAGAAGTATAAATACAAAGCATTAGTGTAACGTGTAAAGAAGTTGTTCTGGATTGGGAGTTTGTGTTGTCGATAAATAATGTGTTCATTACTAATCTGTGTTTTGTTACCTTATCAGAATATTACAGTACTCTAAGATGTCCGATATGGTTATGGAAGAGAAGAAAAAGTATGTCAAGCTGAAGCAGATGGCCTCACAGACGATCACAGAATTGACGGA